TTGAAAGATCGACTCAAGCACTGGACAATATCGTTGCTCTTCATCTTCTTGAAGCAATAGACCTTCCAAGCCGAGCCGAGGTGCATCTGTGTGTAGTTGAACACCAAATTTTGGTTTTCCGGAGAATAGGACAGGTGGCTGGCACAACGCGCGCTTTAATGCCTCAAATGCCACTTGCTGATTTTCTTCCCAAGAAAAAGTAGCGTTTTTCTTTAGGAGTGATCGAAGAGGTGCTGCGATAACGCTGTAATTTGGGATAAACTTCCCGAAGTACGATGTGAGCCCGATGAATGATTGTAGTTTTTTTACATTTCGAGGAGGCCGGAAAGCTTGAACAGCTGCCAGTTTTGATGGGCCAGGAGATACACCCTCTTTTGGGACAACGTGCACAAGGTAATTGATAGCAGTACAAAAAAAGAAACACTTCTCTCGCTTCTATTTCGCACCTTTTAATTATGTTCTGATGGTGTGAAACGTGTTTTTCAAATGTCCGGCTCAAGACTACGCAGTCATCCTTATATACAAGGGCTTTGTCACATTTAATACTGTCAATGGTCGTATTCACGGCTCTCTGACATGTGAGTGGGGCACAATTAAGGCCAAATTGCATCCGGAAGAATTAGTAAAGACCCCACGGCATGATGCATGGCGATCTGATAAAATCCAGACACCAAGTTCATAACAGAAATGTACTTGCTTCTGGTGAGGGCCTGCAACGCATCTTGAATTCTTGAGAAAGGGTACACAATGTTCTAAGTGACGACGCTGAGACATTGATAATCAATGCACATGCGCGTCGTCCAGTCTCTTTGCTACAAGGACAAGGGTGGCGCCTAAGGAATCCGAGAAGGTCGTACTATATTGGCATCAATGAGGTCCTTGATCATACTTTTGACGAGATCACGCTGTGCTGGTGATAATCTGCGAGGACGTTGCGATATTGGCTTTTCGTTTCCAGTTGGAATGCAATGTCGCTCAACTGTGCAGGAGCCTACATCTGTACTTGTCTGGGCAAAGCAAACCGAATGTTGCACCAACAAATTCTTCACGACCTGCAGCTCACTGGAAGATAACGTTGTTCCAATGTCTGACGTCTCCCATTGCGAATGAACGGTGCTGCGGATCGACGACCGCACGAGCTGGTGACACATCAAGGTCCACAGAAGAAGGAAGAGATGAAATTTGGAGGATCTGTTGGCAGCCTTCTCCGGAAAGTGCAATATCCTCAATTCTGCTCGCTTTTTCAATGAGGCCAATTGTCATCTGATATGGAAACAAGACGGCTTGAGAAGAGCAATTCGTGATCAAAACCTTCGTTGTATGTTCCGATGCAGCTATTACTATGAGCTCCATTATGACTGAATAGCGGTCGTACAAGAGCTTTGTCTCAGTGATGACTATTAAATTATTTTTATCTTCCGACACGTGATGCGAGGCCACAGGAACTAACTTCCGCTATAAAGCTGGCAGTGGTTGCTCCATAACCAGGTAGACCTTGCAGAGCCTTTGGGGTCCGATACCGCGAAGCTCTCCGAGCCCCAGTCGATGACGGCTCTTGAAGCCCGAGAGAAGTTATCGCCTAGCAATATTCCTCCTTGAGGTAACTCGGGAACAACAAAAGCATGCTGCAGTGTTTGGTCGTCCACTGCCACCACAGCACTGACTTGACTTGAATTTTGTAGCTGGTGGCCGCTTACTCCTACCAAACGTAGGGACGAAGGCCTTATGCTTAATTCGAGTTTGTGAATTATTGGTGCCGTAATCACTTTTTTTACAGCTGCGGAGTCCAAGATGTCTTTAATAGTTTGTCCGTTGATGGCGACAGGAACAGAAAAAGTACGCGCTTCAGATACGCATGACACCTGCCTAATTACCGGCGACGGCTAGCGGGCTTTGGCGTAACCAGCTGTTCCCCGCTCTTGTGAGCTGGAAGATTCGAAATTTTCCTGCCACTTCAAAAATTATGCAGTTAGCGGTAGATGGCACTGTGTGACGAAATGGCCACTTCTGGACCAATTAAAGTACAGTTTATGAGCTCTCGGGGCATTTCCCCGTGACCTTTCAAAAACACGCGTTGCGGAATGAGTCGATTGCCGCGATGGTGATGGCTTCGCTTTCGTATCCCCTGCTTTTAGCGCCTTTCTATGAGCTACTTCATCCTCTGAGGAACCGTTAGACTCTTAGCTGTTCGCACGTTGACGATGGCGCATATGTTTCCCAGGCGAATGCTTTGCCATATTACAGAATTCGGTTGACGGCGTTGTGGATGGCGTTTCGAGTTCTTCCGCAGCCAAAATTTCACTGCTCTCCTCCAAATCCTTGATCCGGTCAAAGCGCAGAAAGGAACTTATCATATTGTCTCGGAGCTTAAATGTTTTATCAAAAAAGTGCTTCTTTGCCTTGGGGTGACAGAGTAGCCATGATAACTTGGCACCTTTCCTGATGTTGTACAAGAAAATTACACTAATTTATTAGGTTCAGCTTTCGGTATGCGAAGTCTGTACATGACTTGCGTGCACGTTGCGTTCCGCCGAACATTCGCTGCTTAGATGTTACATCGCAATCCATGTGATAACGTCGGCGAAACGCAGCCTTCATGTCAGCCCAACTACTGATACTACCCACCTTCGTTTGGTGACGCATCCATGTAAAGTCCATGCTGGGAGCCTTGAAATAATGAACAGTATAGCCACCTCGTCGGGAAAGCTGGAGGTTCTAAGCAATAATCAACTTGGCGAAACTAGGCGTTTAGATTCTTCCCAAGATGCGGAAACGAGCTCGTCGCGAAACTCGAAGGTCGGTAGCGAGCGTCTTCACTGTTAGACATGCACACGGGAATATCGCTTCTGGCTCAACTTTGTTGCTTTCTCGAGCCGCGTTTGAGATTCATCGGCGCACTGCTCTCTTCTGCACTCGTGCTTGATTCGGCGTCAGTATTCTCATGCGTTTTTAACTCCAGACGCTCGATGCGCTCTCCTATTGGAGCAAGTAAGTTGCACAATAGGTTGTGACTTCTCTTCATCTGCGAGTCAAGAGGCGGTTTTGGTGCGTTGTCGTCTTTGCCGGCGTCGTGGTCTTGGAGAATTTGGCGGCGTCGTGGTCTTGGTAGGTTTCTTCCCGAGCGGCGTCATCCAGCTGCTCGAACACGTCGACAGAACACGGGGCTGTCGCCATCTTGGGATCACAGAGCCGACGCTGTCTAAACGTCAGTGGTTGAGCCGAAGGAGCGCGTAGGGAGCGATGTCCCCACGTAGAAGATGTAAACGTCTTCAGGTACACCTCGAGCAGTTTGGCGCCAATTGTGACGTGCCATTGTGGCCGTCAGATATACTGTGTTCCGAGGCAGCCTAAGATGGACGTCCATACTCTTTCAAGATCAAGAAGAAACTGCCAGACCCTTTTTTTATTCCACGTTCCTCAAGCGCCCACTATCTCGGCACCAATTAACTTCCTTTTCCTCGCGCAAAGGCACGAGACACACACCGAGCGTCGTCTGCTATCACTCGTCACAATGAGGAAGGTTAAAAAAATGGCTGCATATCCACGGAGTGAATGATAGAGAGTGGGGCGAAGCATCCGTCCATCCATTCGTTCTTGCTTCCGTCCGTCCATGCGTCCGTCTGTGTGACCGTCCGTGCGTTCCTTCGCATATCCGCGCGTGCGTCTGTTCGTGCGCCCGTACGTCCATCTGTGCATCCGTCCCTGCGTTCGTCCATGCATCCGCCTCTGCGTCCGTCCATGCATCCATCCGTCGGTGCAGCCATCGGTGAGTCCGTCCATGTATCTGCCTGTGTGTCCGTTTATCCATCTATTCAACCCTCCAAGTACCGCAATCTCGCATCTTTTCATCATATATTCCGTATATGCACAGCCACCGAGCAGACATTCCGAGGACTAAATGAGAGATGGCACACGTACACTTTCTTACGGCTTGCGCTTCGTGTCTACTTCCCACCTTTAACCACTTCGAGTTCAAGGTATATACTAATTCACTGGATTCATGGCACTGCGGCCCAACGCTCGCTAAACCTTTTAGGGGCGAAACTTCTTATAGCGCCACCCGTTCGTTCCTCGTACCCTTTGTAGTATGTAACAAGTATAACATTTTTGACCTTCAAGGTGGTGCCGGTGAGAGATTTCTTCTCTGCGCTGTTGAACAATAAAAAAATAGTGCTCAATGTACATGCTAATGGCTGCTATTGGAGAATGAGAGCCATGAGCATTCGGCTTTTAGTTAACGCGCATGGTGCGATTCACATTAGCATCCATTGGCATGTACATTGAGCACTATCCGACAAGAAAGGGTTGATACGTTATACCCACTGGGTGTAACCTCCTTAGTTTTAGAAAGGTTTCGCGAGCATTCAGGAGCTTCCGCTAAGGGGCCACGGAGTGCGGCTGCACTTCACCTGGGCTCTTGCTTTTCATGCTAGTTTTTGTGGTTTAACTCTGTGCTACTTCTGGGTTTTTGCGCTGGCCAATTCACCAAGTTGCAAGAAAAGGACTGACACCTCCCACTAAGTGGTGAGTGATTATCTACACCGAACTCTTGACATCTCGACGCCAAGATCCTCCCCGCTAACCCTTACGCCGCGACATACGCGCGAGCACGTCTCGTACTTCTGGCTCACGTTGCATGTACACCCGCCGAACGCACGGGCCTGGGAAGGAGCCTCGCGTTCCTTTCTCGACCAGAAAACCTGATTAGAGGGAGACGCCCCTTGCTACCAGCCACGTAGGCTTTCAAAGCGTGTTGATGGCTACTACAGGACCAGAAGAAGAACAAACATCAATGCAAACCGAAGTGAACGCCGAGACGTTTTCGGAGAAATCGGCATGGAAGTATGATGTCAACAGTGGCAAAACAACAGGGAAGGAGTAAATAGAATGGCTGCAAGTCGGACGCAAAGAAAAACGAGCGCTGAACTGGATTCAAGCATCCAACAAGAAGCCTGAGAAAGAGCCCGTTCCCACTCGCTTCGATCCAACGCAACTTGAAAATGCCCCCTTCTTCTACAGACGACTTTAAAATCGTCTACAGGCCACAACCCAGACTCGATTTTTCGAAGTGGAGTCTAACATCAATTACGCACGCTATCGCACGATCAAGCGGTCTCACACAACAGGATTTCTATGACAACGTTCGAGTTCAAGTGCAAAAAATTGAAAAGATTATCACTGCTAGTACTGCCGACGCAGAACGCGCAACCAACCTGAGAAGCATTGCTACCATCCAGTTAGGCGGCACTTTCTTCAGTGTGAACTGCCACGTGAGACATCCCGACGATGTATGCGGGGGTGTCGCCTACGGGCTTCTCCCAGGAACCAGCAGTGCCGAAATTGTAGCTGACCTGCGAGTCGACTCACGATACACGGTCCTTGGCGCTCCCAAGCTTGGTCAGTCTTCCACCGCCATCATCACATTCAATGGCCTACACGTCCCGTACTACATCACCTACCAAAGTGGATACTACCGCTGCAAACCCTATGGAAAGTCTGCGCAGTTCTGTCGCAAATGCGATGCCCTTGGGCACCGACAAGACATCTGTCCCAGACCAAGAGAAGGCTTCTGTTATAAGTGTGGACAAGACGCAGTCACCACAGATCACGAATGTATTCCAAAGTGCAAAATATGCGAACAGCCCCATGAAGCCGCCAGCAAGGAATGCAAGAAGAAGCTAAGACCAAACCCATCACCTTACCAAGTTAGACAACAAACACTCGAGAAGGCGAATGCCCGAGAGAATGGTCGTAGTTCCCGCAGTGAAGGCTTCACCGAGCTTGACAAACCATCTCCTAGCCCCAGCGGCACACTGCACGACAAGCGCGGCCGAAGCAAGTCTAGGTCTATTCTGCGATCGCGCCCCAGGTCTCACACAAGATCCCGCTCATTCTCCACCCAACGCCTCAGCTATGCTGATGACAGTCGCGTAGATTCGACTTCACAGAACAACTAGAACACTCCAGATTGCTCATCTACTGAATCCACTGCATTCAAGGATTTGGAAAAAATGGCTTGGAATCAGCAAGAAGCTCTGAAAAACCAGCGTGACCAGCTTTAAAAACAAGGTGCAGTTGTCGATAAGCTCGTAAAACTATGCCATGAACAAGAAAAGATCATAGAGTAGCAGAACGCAAGCATAGAGAGGCTCACTCGACTATTCGAAGAACAGCACCAAGCTAAACAACTAGCCAAAAAACTCAACACACCAGATATTGAAGATGTCGTGGAGGCCAAAGTACTCTTCATTATAGAAACAAAAGTCGCCGCCCTTGTCGACTCGCAGCTCACGGTGACAGAAGAGCCACAACGCACATCAGCAGTCGAGTCGACGCTCGAAGCACTCGTCCTGGTGAAGTCGCAGCCCATCTCCGCCCAAATTGGTGACACGTTCACGACGCTCAGCCGTAAGATGGACCCTCACACAGCCCAAATCAACGATCTCAAGTCGCAGCTAACCAACTTCATGGTTCATGTCAAAAACAACTGCATTAGTCACGCGGAACTTGAAGACTGCCATGGCAGAAAAAACCACGCCCAAAGAGAGAAAAAAGTTTCCCACTCCTTCTCTCCCGATGGCGAGCAGGTAAACGTACCAGATATTCACGCAGATGGCAGGCTCTAAGAATAGGATTTCTACTCCGCAACCAACTTTTCGCATTTGGCAGTGGAACTGTTGATCCTACAGACCCCGGCTGGCCAATCTACAAGAATTTATAAAAGTAAGTTAACCCGACCTCATCGCTCTACAAGAGAACAATACTGAAAAAAGTGTGGCTCGCAGGATACAACACCGTTGCTCTGACCCCAAGAACTGCCATTCTACTTAATAAAACTGTTGCGGCCCAAGTACACAAGATAGAAGACACTACAGTTGAACACTCCATCGTGGAAATCATACCGGAACGAAAATCACAACAAAGCTTTTACGTCACTAACGTGTACAGCCCACCGCGGGATCAGCTCAGGGACTACGATTACTTCGTCCGCGAACTCAGAAAACGCCCAAAAGGTCACCGGTTAGTGGTCGTAGGGGACTTCAATGGGCCCCACACAGGTTGGAGCTATGCCATCACCACCAAGAAAGGCGCGAGAGTCCACGACTCTGCTCAGCAGCACGGCCTCACATAATAATAATAATAATAATAATAATAATAATAATAATAATAATAATAATAATAATAATAATATTAATAATAATAATAATGTTTATTTTTCATCAATAGTTTGATGAAGGACAGCTGCACGTGAAAGCTGCTCTCCAAAGGAGGCAGCTTGACAAAGGCCCACAGATATCTTTTAGCACGCAGCAGTGGCAAACAATCATTATTGTGAAATCAACAACAATAACAAAAACACCAAAAAGATAAATAAATAAAAAGTAAATAAACATATAAAAATCACGTCCAAATTCCAAAAATAAAAAAAACAACCATGATAATACAGCAACTGCAAAAAAATTTTTAAAACTAAACATGTGTATATCGCCCAACTGTATCTGTGTACAATGTAAAAAATCTATGCCAGCTTTCACATATTTATTAAGTAACGTAGGAACTCTGTAGGATAACTTATCTGTAGAGTAGTTTGGTCTCAAAATTTTTATTTGCCATGTTTCTTTATTTCGTGTTTCAAACAATGTAATCTTTGGCTGCAGTTTTGAGAGGTCATACAAAAAATTTAGACATTCTTTCAATTCACGCCTGATTGCCAATGCTAACTTAAAATTGTAGAGACGATGTACGGGTAGTATTCCAGCCTGCTAAAACAATTCGCCTGTGTGAGCATCATACGGCAAGTTAAAAATGATTCTAATATACTTCTTTTACATCAGGTACATTTTTTGCAAGTTCATGTAAGATGTAGTCCCCCATACCAAGAAACAACAGGTAAGATGTGAATAGAAAAGTGATTTATAAAGTAAGAGTTTTACCTTGTATGGTAGAACAGTTTTGCCAGTGTACACCATACCCACTACGCGGGATAACTGACTCAGCACAATGTCAATATGTTCAGTCCAAAGCTCGAAATTTCTCGAAAATGTAACTCCGAGAATTTTTAAACGTTTTACAAGCTCAATATAAGTATCGCCATACTTATCATGTATGTTTTCATTAACGGGCTTATTTTTAGGACGGAAGTGTACCACTTTTGTTTTACTAGTGTTTATGTTTAAATTATTACATCATGACCATAGCTTTAGTTTCACAAAAAATGGTTCATTTTTTCCTCAAGCGTGGTACTATTTTTTGCTGAAACAAACATGCTGACATCATCGGCATATAAGACGTATTTAGCGTCTGGATAAATACGAGTTAAATCATTTATATAGGCTATAAAAAGAAGGGGTCCAAGGATGCTTCCCTGAGGTACACTCTTAGTAATAGGCTTCAGCTCTGAGAATTTTCCATCTATTTCAACCACCTGTTTACACGAGATATCAAGAAGGTGGGATGGACCTGTCTTCCCGAGACGCTTGGCAGCGATCACCACATAATTCAACTCGAAATCGAATATGACCAACGACCTACAAAAACAGGCACAGCAAGAATGACAGATTGGAACGCCTTCAGAAACGAGCTCGATGGTGACAACGCAATAGCGGACATAGACGCCTGGCTCACCAAGATTCTGGATACCGCCAAACGGTGCACCAAAGTAATGCAGCTTAATGAAGACAATCCGGCAGTAGATTCCCACTTACTCCACCTCTGGAAGGCCAGACGTGCCTTACTGAAGAGATGGAAGAGGCAAAAATTGAACAAGAAACTCAGGAAAAGAATTTCCTTATTGACAGAAGAGGCGCAACAGTATGCCGAAAACCTAGCGAGAAACAACTGGCGTGACTTCTGCGATAAGCTCCAGGGTACGCTCAGCACCAAGAAGACGTGGCACCTGCTGCGGACTTTCCTCCGTGACCGCCCCACCAAGACGCAGCAGCGGCAACGAGTACGTCAGCTAACACACAATTACAACGGCCTGGAGGAAGACCTGCTCCACGAACTATGCAACAAGCTGCGTGGTCCTGTCCAATCAGCGGCGATGCCACCACCACACAAAGAATACGAAGGCATGCGCAACTCTAACCTTCACACACCCTTCACACCAGCAGAGCTTCAAGCAGCTCTTTCCAAGCTTACAAGAAACACGAGTCTAGGCAAAGATGGGATAGTCAACAAGCACCTCAGACAGCTACGCCATCAGGCAATGAATGCTCTCCTACAGTACTACAATGACTGCTGGGACAAAGGAGAGCTTCCAGCCACATGGAAGCATTCGGAGGTTATCATGATACCTAAGCCTAACAAGTCCATAGCTGTTGACAACCTTAGACCCATTTATCTTACTTCTTGCGTTGGCAAGCTGTTTGAGCATATGATCCATTACCGGCTCACGTCGCACCTTGAGGACAACGGGTGCTTTCCAGAAACCATGTTCGGCTTCCACCAGCTGCTTTCTACGCAGGACAGCCTCTTACTCCTCAAGGAAGATGTAGTTGATCACTTGAACGAGAATAGCAAGTCGTCCCTTCTTGCAATTGATGTGAAAAGCGTCTTCGACAATGTTAGCCATAAAGCAATACTACAAAATCTCGAAAATACTGGCTGCGGTTCCAAGATTTATGGCTATGTTCAAAGCTTCCTCATTCGTCGCACGGCCACGGTGCGAATATACAACATACGAAGCGAAAACTTTGAGCTGCCGAACCAGGGTACACCTCAAGGCTCTGTTGTGTCACCACTTATCTTCAACGTGGCACTCCTTAAGCTCCGTCGGCTTCTCGAAAAAAATACAGGGCCTACGTCACGCCCTGTACGCGAACGATATTATGCTTTGGACTCGAAGCAAGAGCACTGGAGAGCAAGAAAGCTGCCTTCAGGAGGCGGTCAATGTCATAGATAACTACCTGGAAAGCTGCGGCCTCCATCGTGCACCTGAAAAATCGGAATTACTGGTACTCAAGACCCGCACGTGAGGAAGACTTCCAACCTGCGAAGCGCCAGACCCATGCATCATCCTTCACGGGGTCCAAATACCGAAGGTCACCTCGCTTCGCGTGCTCGGCTTGCACCTGCACCGCGACAGATCAGGGGCTGCCACGCTTCCTGGACATCAATGCACAGTCTTCCAGCTCACGCACCCCGTAAAGAGAGTCGCAAACCGACGCAGTGGCCTAAAGGAAAACAATACCTTGAGATTTGTGCAGGCTCTTCTAACCAGCCGAATCATCTATGGAACCCCGAACCTCGCCATCAAGACATCTGAAGTCGACAAGCTGAATGTGCTCATCCGCAAAGCTATCAAGCTCGCCATATGATTACCTCCAATGGCGTCGACCACCAGACTCCTAAGAATGGGTATGCACAATTCCTGGCAAAAGCTGGCAGAAGCCCACCACCAGCCAACTCGAGAGACTTAAGCGTACGTCGACGGGCAGATCGGTCCTAGAGCACTTGGGCTACAGCGAGAGCCACATCTGTGAGGCAGACCGCAAAGAGAAGATGCCGCCGTACATGCGAGAATCATTCAGCATCGCCCAAGTACCGCGTAACATGCATTCCGAGTACCATCGGGAAAGACGAATCGCTCGACTCGACACCATTCGCAGAAGACACCAGCACAATCCAGAGGCTCGCTACGTCGACGCGGCAAAATACCCTGGCAAAAGTGCCTACGCTATAAGTGTGGTCAATGCGGAAGGACAAGAGCTGGCATCCGCCACCCTCCAGGTGCGGAGCTCTGAGTCTGCCGAGGAAGCAGCGATCGGCCTTGCCACTACGACTGGTAAAGACGCGGTCGTAGTTTTCACAGATTCCCAATCCGCTGTCCGCAAATACAAGCGAGGCCGAATCTCCGCCGAAGCTCTCAAAATTCTGAGGAAGAGCCGAACTTCGCTTCCTTACACCTGCGTGGTATGGGTGCCGGGAGATGAGGAGCTCGAGGGAAATGAAGCGGCTTACGCCGCGGCCTGCGGTCACGTCAACCGGGCCTTCCTCACCACCTCCCTTGGCCCGCGGTTAGCCAGCTCTGCAGAAGAAGTGCAGACCGTACCACCAACATACAACGCCATCCTACAACACTATCATCTAGCTCTCAGGGTGTACCCGCCACCTCACCCTAAGCTGACTAAAGAAGAGGCAACAGCATTTCGGAGACTTCAAGCTAACACCTATACACACGGCACCCTACTGCATAGAATCTACCCAATGCTATACGCCTACAACTGCCCGATATGCGGCTTGCCAGACACACTGGCCCACCGAGTGTCCGTGGCGCCACGAAGATGTCAATACCAAGTGCGCAATGACTGCACGTATCAACCCCCTAGCCCACACGTGGGAGGCCAAGATTGCTGCACGTGACCTAGACGACCAACGAGGACTTGTCGCCAGGGCCCGGGAGGCAATTGCGGCCAGAGGATTCCTGGAATAAGGGACACTCCCACCTAGGGTGACCCCGAGCTCACAAACTCGGGAACACTGATTCGAAAAATAAATGTTTATTTCTTCTTCTCTTGGCGAGCGTTGAGCCGCAGTGCCATGAATACAATGAACTAGTATATATCATGAATGAACTCGAGGTGGTTAAAGGTGGGAAGTAGATACGAAGCGCAAGCAGTAAGAAAGTAAAAGCCGAATTCTCCTGTCTCTCATTTCCCACAAGCAGCCATTGGCATGTACATTGAGCACTATCTGACAGGAAAAGGTTGCTATGTTATACTCGCTGGGCGTAACCTCTTTGGTTTTAGAAAGGTTTAGCGAGCGTTGAGCCCCAGTGCCATGAATACAGGGAACTAGTATATACCATGAACTCGAGGTGGTTAAAGGTAGGAAGTAGACCCGAAGCGCAAGCTGTAAAAAAGTGTGCGTGTGCCACCTCTCGTTTAGTCCGTGCAATGTCCGCTGGATGGCGGTGCTTCTATATGGGGAATGTATGACAAAAAGATTGATTGATATGTGGGGTTTAACGTCCTAAAGCTACCATATGATTATGAGAGACACCGTAGTAGAGGGCTCCAGAAATTTTGACCACCTGGGGTTCTTTAACGTGCTCCCAAATCTGAGCACACGGGCCTACAACATTTCCGCCTCCATCGGAGATGCAGCCGCCGCAGCCGGGATTTGAACCCGCGACCTGCGGGTATATGATGAAAAAAAAAAGAAGCGAGATGGCGGTGCTTGGAGTGTTGAATAGATGGACTGACGGACACACAGACAGATGCATGGATGGACGCATGAACAGACGCAAAGCGGATGTATGAACAAAAGCAGGGACGGACGCACGAACAGACGCACGCACGGACGAGCGGATGGATGCATGGACAGTCACACAGATGGACGCATGGAAGGACGGAAGCAAGAACGAATGGACGGGCGAATGCTTCGCCCCACCCTCCATCATTCCCTCCGTTTTTCTAAAACCAAGTAGGTTATCCCCAGCGAGTATAACGTAGCAACCCTTCCTTGTCAGATAGTGCTCAATGTATATGCCAATGACTGCTAAGGGGGAATGAGAGACAGGAGAATTCGGCTTTTAGTTAACGCGCACGCTGTGAATTTTTTATTGTTCAACAACGCACAGAAGAAATCTCTCGCCGACACCACCTTGGAGGTCAAAATGTAAAATTGGTTACACACTACGACTACTACTATGACTACGAGGGACGAACGGGTGCCGCTATAAAGAGCTTCGCCCCTAAAAATGGACGGTACTTTAAAGTACGGCCCGGACAGCTCGACCGACAACGCTAGTTCAAGGACGTCCATGACATATGGGTAAATCGAGGCTTTGTTATAGTTGTCCTTTATGTACTCCTGTTTGCCGCGCATTTGGTATACCGAAGGACTGGCGATTATTTAATAAAGTAGCAGGGCAAATCGGCGACCTCTCAGTCCTAGCTTCTAGGGCGACATGCATTAAAAGGGCTACTTATGGTTTAAAAGTTGTGGTTAATGCAATTCAATTTCACGCTGATAGTGAACCGAGATATACCCCCTAACTTCTAGGCGACAAGGTAAAAGCTGCAGGGGCACGCAAAGCCAGTGCTCGTGTTCCCTGCTTCCTTATTCATCCACTTAGGAGAAAAAGAATATCGCTGTGGACGTCCAGTGTTTTCACGCGCAGAATTACCTGTAAATACAGTAGAGGCATTTCTTGTGCTACTGTCTATGAAAGGTGAAACTCATGGTGATTCAGCCAGCACCGGAATGATGGGTAGTATTCGGATTTGTCTAATATATATATTTTCGGCTCCGTTTGGCTTCGAGTGACCTAATTCCACTCTGCAGCCAGGCGAAGTTCATCAAAGATTCAGAAGTTGCGCTTCACCACCTTAATCTCTTTAGGCGCACTAACTAAATTTGACTCACAAAGTGCACAATGGTCGAATCCTTTATTTGAAACAAGACCAGAACACAGGCATAAAGAAATCAACTCGACAAGTACTCTAACTGGGCTCAATAAATGAAGCTCAATAAATGAGCTTCAGTGAATGTCGCTTCACTACAATCGTCGTTAACCCGAAATGACGGCTGTATCATAGGAGTACGTACGTACTGTTTATAAGATCGGATAGCCAGCACTGCAACGTCAATTGATGCTACGAACATTATAGTCTATTTGAAAGACAATTTGGAGACCAGCGTAGTTCTGTGGTAGAGTAGTTGAATGGCATGCAGAATGCCGCACTTTATTAACCATGTCTGTACTCGCCGTTCATGAATTGATGAATAGATGGATAGATAAATGAACTATAATTGGTCTTTCGGAACGAGTTTGAGCACGTGGCAGGCCACGCCCACGTCGGAACGAAAAAATCGAGCGCTTTTCTTTCTCTCGTGTTTTTTTTTTCGCGCCATAAGCTACGTTAGGAATGAAACAAATCGATCAATAAGTCACTCTGCACAAAGATCGAGTCTTCCTGTGACGTGGCGGGCCCGTTGGACTGGCCGTAATTGTTTTTAGAGTTCGGAGCTGGTAATAACACCCTCCTATTTAGAAGGTGGGATGACTTCTCCACAGCGTAACGCGAGACACCGTTATAGCAAGTTTTCCAAATTAGCTATATCTTTGCAGAGGGAATAAGTATTAGTTTGCTGTATTTCGGTATAAATCTTGTGCAATATCGACGGGTAAGTGTATGCCCCGACTTGAAGCATGCGTGTCAGAGCTTCAGGTGTGCTTAGTTTTCGGTGTGGAGGTGGCTGATGTCTCCACGCCAGGTGAAAATATTTAGTCAGTTCGTTATACAATATCGGAGAGTCCCAATTTCCTAAACATCAACGCCGCACCCCGATAGTGACGTGATTTATAGTCCTCGCGCAGCTATGTGGGCTGACTAGCTCATGTTGGGCGGGGCTCCCTCTTTCCATCCCGTGTGTCCTGTTAACTCTACGGATGTGTGTGGCTTGATATCCTTGACCCGAAGGATCCACAAAACCAGTTCCGGTATTGTGTCCTTGGCAAGTGCTCTGACCACTGATCTCGAGTCGCTGTAAATTGTGGAACTCCTGTTGTTTGGCAAGTCCAACATGATCGGCACTTGCACTGGTATTTCAGTCGTCATCGTCCGGACCATTGTGGAATTTGTGATACCGCTCTCGTGGTTGATGCTCACTGCCACATAAGCCTTCCTTGGGCATACTGGGCCGCATCGTCGACGCAACAGTGCCCGGCATGTTAGAACCTTTGCCCTGACCTGATAAAATAATACACACAATTAGGTTAGCACGTTAAAAATTTCAACTTATCTTACACATGTTACAAAAAACGTAGTACGGCGTCGTCATCATGCTCTCGGTGGTAACAAAGCGCTGACAGCAACAATGGGGTACATACCTGGCGAGTGCTCCACAATACGAAGCCATACATCCTCGCTTGAGTATAGTTCACCTTCTTTATAAGCATCACCAGCATAACACGAAGCACGAACACAGATCGCAAGCACACTTCAAAACACGAGAAAAATCGACGCAAAACGGAACCTCCACAAGGCACCCGAGTGGGGAGCGGCACATCTAAACAAATATGGTTACAGCCCCGCAGGCATACACCGCATTTGCACACTGAAAAATTTGCTGATGCAGTTAAATAATAAAAAATATACCTAAATAGATATTACAAAAATGCGTAAAGAGTAAACTATTACGACTTCTACAAGCAGAAAAACAATAACGGTGAAAATTTGAGCACATGAAATTTCAAACGTCACAGGTACAAAATGAACGCAATTTGGAACATATGGCCAACCGCGGTAATATTCTCCACAAAACACTCATGTTTTTCGAAGTAAAAATATATATTGGTTCATGCAGACGT